AGTGGTAAACTTTGCTCTTCAATTATAGTTGTTGCTTTATTCTGGTGCTAAAATAATGTGGCTTCTTGGTGATAGTAAGATTTTCTTGAACAATACAGTTACATATTTTCTTCTGTTCTTTGAAACTATAAAAACAGGCATATTTTGAACATGAAAGAAAGGTTATACCACTAAATACCACAAGGTGTCACTTATGTAAAAATAAAGTTTGTATCCTAATACTCAAAGCTGAAAAGCTAAATAGGTAAATGAAGAACTAGGCAGATAAAATAATACATTATTTGAAACAGGTATTGGTTTTCAGCAGAGGCAATGAAAATATTATTAGTTCAGCATTCATTTGATTCAACTCTTGATGTTTATCAGAAAGAATTTTTAAATTTCTAACTTATTGCAATATTACATGTTAATAGGTCGTGTTTGAATCCATGTACAAAGGAGATGGAACTAAATGACTCAGTACAAGCATAAACATATTGTAAGGGTATGATAGGTGTTACAGTGCTAAGTTTTCTAAATCTTTCCTATTTTGGTGTTAAGCAAAGAGGAATTTGGGAAGAAATATATAATTTACATCAGAATTTTCAATGGGTCTTTATGACACATCTGTGAAAAATTGTTTAGTAAATCTGGTTGAAACAGTACTAGGATTTTTTTGTCTCTTCTCTGAACCTCAAAGTTATTGCTCTGCCTGTGTTGACACAAATGATATTTATATTTGTTGTTGAAGACTGTATTTTCTATTATTAAACATTAACAGCGAAACCTTTGGCTATAATATTGGGTTCCTGTTCTTTTATTTTTAGTTTAAGGGGGCTCTGGCATCTCAAGCCCAAGAGGAATAAAGCAAGTTTTCATTTCTTGTGAATAAGAAATGCCTGGGTTTAGAGGTTGGGACTTCCTAGAAATGAACACTTCATTATTCATTGCTCACTTCTCTCTCCAGGTAGCACTGGTGGAATAGAATGGTGAAAAACTGTTGGGGATCAGGAAGAAGTACTGTATTTTCCGGCATATAAGACGACACTGTGTTCTAGTAAAAAGCCTGCTCAGATTGGCCAGAGTCAGAGAGGCGGTCTATTAAAAAAAGAACTGGTGTTGCCTCGTAAGTGGGGGGTAGTCTTATACAGCGAATATAGGCCTAAACCTATGTTTTAACTGTAAAAATTAGGGGGTCGTCTTATACACCCGGTCGTCTTATACGCCGGAAAATACGTAAACGAATTTTCATTCTTTCTTGACATACATAGTATGATCACATTTTCTTTCTATTCAGTTCCTATCTAATTACTTTAGTTTTTTTTTTCTTTCTTAACCCCAATAAAGTTTTTCAGGTTTCTTTTTGGTTTTTAATTTATAAAGAGTATGCATTAAGTTACCTGTACAATGTGAGGAAGTCTGAGAAGTTTTAAGAAAGGATTCTAAATTGATTACAGTGAACATTTATTGTATTTTAATATTTGGTAGTTGTATGTCCTCAGATATAGTTTTTACATATTGCTGTCTACTATTTACATACTTTTAGCTTTATTTTAATGAGAGAAAAGTCAGTCTTGTAATAATTACTTTTTGTGTCCCACTAGTGGTCACCATTGCATTTAATTTTATGAGTTGCTTGGAAAGGAAGAGTAATTTCTTTTTTCATGATGAATTTCATTGCCTCTATTGTTTTTGGAAAAAAATCTTCTTAGCCTTCATTTTTTAAGTTTTTTTATTGCAATGACAACTAAGCAACTATACACTTTTGAAAAAACACAGTAAAACTTTTCAGTAATAACTTTATGGAGGTATAATTTGCATGTAACAATTATTCACCTAAAGTTTACAATTAGATCTTTTGACATAAAAGATCTTAATCATAAATTTATAAAATCACCATCACAGTTAAGAAGATACAGAATATTTCTATTATCTTATGAACTGGGAAATTTTATGTCCCTTTGCTGTCCATTTCTTCCTCTATCCTGTGGCACCAGGATACTACTGGTCTGCTTTCTGTCATTACAGATTAGTTTTTTAGAATTTTAAATGAGTAAATTATGGTCTTTTGCATCTTTCTTCTTTCACTCAGCATAATGATTTTGAGAATTCATCTTGTATGTATCAGTAGTTAATTCTTTTTCATTGCTGGGTGGTATTCTGATGTAGGCTAAGTCACATTTTATTAATGCACATTTAGATTTTTTAAAAGTATTTTTACTATTATGAATAAAGCTGCTATGATTATTCATGTAAGTCATTATGTGGAAATACATGTGTTTTTCTCTGGGGAGTGGAATGACTGGGTCACATGTAGATTTATGCTTAAATTTATAAGGAACTTCCAGTTTTTCAAAGTTTTGAAAAAGGCTTTCTTTTCCATCCTCACCAGAAGTGTGTGAGTTGTAGTTGTTCCATAGCCTTGGCCATATTTGTTATTGTCAATCTTTAGTGGGTGTGTAATGGTATTTAATTTGCATTTCCTTGAGAACTAATGATCTTAAGTATTTTTTGATGTGCTTATTGGCATTTCTTATCTTTTGTGAAATGTCTGTTTAATGTTTTTGACCATTTTTTTTGATTGGCCTATTTGTCTTGCTATAAGTGAGTTATATAACTTTTAAAAATGTAAACTTTTGGTTTTGAGATAATTGTGTAATTACTTCATATTGCAGTTACAAGAAATTTTTTTGTAGTTACTTCATATTGCAGTTACAATAATATTTAATATTCTGTGTACCCAGTACCCAATTTCGCTCAATGATCACTGTAGTATAGTATCACAATCAGGATGTTGACAGTGATATAATCTACCAACTTGTTCAGATTTCCCCAGTTTTACTTGTACTGTGTGAGAGCGTGTGTGTGTGTGTGTGTGTGTGTGTGTGTGAGAGAGAGAGAGAGAGAGAGAGAGAGAGAGAGAATATTCTATTCCATTTTACGTATTATAGGTTCATGTAACCATGATGACAATAAAGTTACTAACAGTCCTATTACCACAGGGCTCTTCTGTTGTCCTTTGATAGCCTTCTTTCCCTTTCTTGAGCTTAACCTTTAGTAACCATTAATTTTTCCCCATTTCCATAATTTTATTTCAAGAATCCTATATAATAAAGAGCTAATATGCAAATGGTCATCATGCCCTCATGCCATCACTCCTTAATGGCTCAGTCACTAAACACTGGGGAGAGAAGAATGGGGACCAGCCAGGCTGCGGCTCAGGAGAAGGACAAGCCACCTGCCCTGTGGTCCTGGGCACCTGAGGCTGTGGCCCTGGTGAAGCTGCCTGCCCACGGTCCCCTGTGGCTGCAGCTGGCCTGGGTCCTGGGTGCCTGCAATTAGTTGGAGGAGGGAATCCTCGGTCCCGAGTATGGGGCGAGGCAGAGGCAGTAAGGGACCATTAGGCAAGCAGGTAGAGGTGGTTAGGTGATTAGGCAGGCAGGCAGGTGAGTGATTAGGAGCCAGTGGTCCTGGATTGCAAGAGGCAGTTGGAGATCTCCTGAGGAGTCCTGGATTGGAGAGGATGCAGGCCGGCCTGAGGGACATCCCCCCCCCCCCCCCCGCATGAATTTTCTGCACTGGGCCTCTAGTTCTATACTAGGGGTGTCGAACTCAATCAGAGAAGGGGCCAAAATCTAAAATCCAGCCTAAATCGCGGGCCAAATGGTTTACTGAACAGTCATAAACTGTCATTGTGATGGAAACGCAGCGGAGTGCAGTGATGACAGCGCGGTGCGGGCCACATTGCAAGGCCTGGCGGGACGGATTTGGCCCGCGGGCCTTGTGTTTGACACGTGTTCTATACAATAAAAGGCTAATAAGCAAATCAACTAAACGGTGGAATGACCAGTCATTGCACTGACCACTAGGGGGCAGATACTCAATGCAGGAGCTGCCCCCTGGTGGTCAGTGCACTCACACAGGGAGCACTGCTCAGCCAGAAGCTGGGCTCACAGCTGGTGAGCACAGCGGCGTTGGCTGAAGCCTCTCCTGCCTCCACAGCAGCACTAAGGATGTCCTACTGACAGCTTAGGCCCACTTGGCTTAAGCCGTCAGTAGGATATCCCCTGAGGGCTCCCGGACTGTGAGAGGACACAGGCCGGACTGAGGCCCTCCTTGCCCCTTCCAGTGCACACATTTTGTGCACCTGGCCTCTATGTTCTGTAAATGGAATAATGCAGTATGTTAGGGTTAACTTTTCTGACTTAGCATATTTATCTGGATATTAATCAGAGTTGTCTTATGTATCTAATTGAGATGTTAAAATTGCCTTTACTTAATTCTTTGAATTAGTGAGTGTCATTTGGCATTTCCCTTCATATTCATATTCTGGTTTTGGGGGGATAGTTGAGGAATGGTACAAATAATACGAAGCTTTTCTTTCATTAGTGCTCTTTCTTGAGATATTCTGAAGAAAGTTTTAACTTTTTGGCTTATTAAAATATTTTAAGGCTGAGTCAAGGATTTTTCTTATTTTTTAAATGATGATTATACAGAAGAAATTTTGGAATGAGAGAATATGTGTTTACATTAATATTTTGCCCAGAAATGATATACAGTTTTATTTTTTGTTTAATTGGTAGGCTTTATGGCACCATAACACTTGATATTATTTTGTGAGATTTAAGATAATAAATATATATCTAATCTGTATATATAAAAGCCTAAATGACCAAATGATTGAATGACCGATTGACTGGTCACTATGACATGCACTGACCACCATGGGCAGATGCTCAATGCAGGAGCTGTCCCCTGGTGGTCAGTGTGCTCCCACGGCCAACCTCCTGTGGCCCCTCCCCCTGGCCGGCCAATCTCCCATGGCCCCAATCGGCCCTGATTGCTGGTCTGGCCCAGGGACCCACCTATGCACGAATTTGTGCACTGGGCCTCTAGTTATAAATAAGAATGCCCTAACTTAACATTGTCCATCGTATTTCTAATTCTTATGAAAATGATTTATTTTAATAGCTTTGTTATGTGAAAATCTAAATATGGATTTTTTTTTTTCTTTTATATAGGAATGAAGATCTAAAGCAAATGTTGGAGAGCAACAAAGATTCTGCTAAATTGGATGCTATGAAACGGATCGTTGGGGTAAGTAAAATAGATCATTTTAATTTTTGGAAAATGATGTACTAATTGTATTAAATATACATATTAAATATGAATATCAAATGGACATGCCATTTGTTTTTCAATATTAACTTAAAATTACTTGTCTAAAATGTTTTGGAAGAAATATTGAAGTGTTGAAATTCAGAAATTTGAGTTCTAATTTTATATTTTCTATGTTATGATTTCCCTCTTTATATCAAAATCTTTCTCCTATGAGATAAAAATAACTGATTATTTTGCAGACAAGTAGATTATATACAACAATAGTTGGACTTCCTGCAAAGAGGGATACTAATTATGAATAAGTTAAAAGAAGTTTCAGCCCTCATATTTCACTTTTATTCTTTAGATGATTGCAAAAGGGAAAAATGCATCTGAACTGTTTCCTGCTGTTGTGAAGAATGTGGCCAGTAAAAATATTGAGGTACTGTTTTGGTTCATAATTTTCATGATTTTCTTTTTAGGAAAAGAATAATATGCTTTTACTTACTTAATATGCACCATAAGATATTTAAGTATCACTAGGTTTTTGCTGATTCTGAGGAAGGTATGTTTACTTAGTAGGAAGTAGTTATATCTGTATAAAATTCAAAATGCCAGCACACATGCCTCCTATTTGTGCATTGTTAGCAACTGTGAGCATCAAGGAATATGCCTGGTCCTCCTTTTGAGTCTGCAAAGTTTGAGAGAAGGAACAGTCTCCACTAAAGAATATTTTCAAGGACCTGGTGGCATTGGGGAAGATGTTTTAGGTGGACATAAATGGAGTATAATAGGTAGAAATTAAGAATATAGAAAGTTTTTTCCCCTTATAATCAAGTATTATTAATATCCTTAAAGTTATATCTCTTTGTTTTGTTTTATATATTCAGTAGGTATTTAGTCTGGGGTATACAGTGTACATCTTTAACTTATTACAGTTAACCACTAGGTACAATATATATCTTTAAGTTACCACAATCTATTTTCAAATGACATTATACACTGCTCTTCCCGCTCCCTGCCCCCTTGGATGCCTGAAACCACAGATAGCACCAAATCCTATTTATACTGTATTTTTTTCTATTCATACATACTCATGTTAAAGTTTAATTAGGCACAGTAAGAAATTAACTGCAATAACTAATCCTAATATATAAAAACCCAGGGTCTGGAACATCCAAAACGACTGAAGGCTCAACCGGACTGCCTGCTCCTGCAGGCGCCGTGATCCACCACTGACTGCTGTGAGGGCTGCAGATTAGGCACAAAGAGGGACCTGGAGAGAGAAGCAAGGTCTAATCCGTAGCCTCCATGGCAGCTGTTGATCAGTCCTTGCCTCTCTCTTTCTCTTTGGCCTCCACTTGGGCTGCTGATCAGCCCCACCTCTCTGATCAGGCCCATTGATAGGCCCGGAGACGCTGACTGGCATAGAAACCAACCAATCAGAACCAAATCTGGATGAAGTGTGAGAAGCCAATGGTTGCCTAGGAGGCAGAACTTTTGATACTGACAGGCATAGAAACCGATGAATCAGAGCCAAATCTGGGTGAAGTGTGAGGAGCCAAAGGCTGCCTAGGAGTTGTAGCTTTTGACGCATAATCTGGGTGAACTGCGAAGGTAGAACCTACGGTGGGGGCTTATGAGGGGTTTTAAGGACAACACTGTTTGGTGTAAGGTGTAAGAAAGCAGTTCAATTTTTTTAATGACCAGTTTGGCAGTATATAGTGCATATGGCTGGCTATCAGTATAGATATAGGGATTATGTATTTTTGTCTGCCAAGAGCATCTCCTCCTGATGCAAAAGGCTCCCCCCATTTAAGCAATCCTATCCTATATAACCTGTCTATATTACTAAAAGAGTAATATGCTAATTAGACCAGATCGACTGGCCATCTTCCGGATGTTTGACTGTTGGACAAAGCCATGGTGGTGGGGGCCAAGGCAGGGGCCATTAGTGGCGATGAGGCTGGCAGGGGAGAGCAGTTGGGGGTGAGATCAGGCTGGCCGAGGAGAGCAGTTGGAGGTGAGATCAGGCCGGCAGTGTTGGGCAGTTGGGGGTGAGATGAGGTCGGCTGGGGAGTAGTTGGGGGCAAGATTAGGTTGGCAGGGGAGGACAGTTAGGGATGATCAGAGGCAGTTAGGGGGCGATCAGGCAGGCAGGCAGAGAAGTTAGGGTGATCAGGCAGGCAGGCAGAGGCAGTTAGGAGTGAGCGGTTAGGAGCCAGTGGTCCCAGATTGTGAGAGGAATGTTGACTGCCAGTTTAGACATTCCCCAAAGCGTCCCCGATTGGAGAGGGTGCAGGCTGAGCTGAGGGACTTTACCCCCTCCCCCATGCACGAATTTCGTGCACTGTGCCATTAGTAGTATATATAACAGAACAATGATAGCAATATACTGTAATAAAAGTGAAGTGAATGGCTTTGGGGTTATTATTAAGTGAAATAATATCTTAATAATAACCTGTTGTTGATACTTCAACAGTCAGTTGGTAACTATGATGTGACTGCAGTATGCATAAGCGGGATAAAGGGATGATTTCACGTCCTGGGCAGAACTGAGTGGATCGGTGTGAGTGGATCTAATTTTTCTTTGCTTGCTTAAGCTTTAGTGATTATATCTAAGAAACCGATGTTAAATCCAAAGTCATGAAGATTTATACTTGTCTTTTTCCAAAGAATTTTATAGTTTTAGCTTTTATATAAAGGACTGCAATCTATTTTGAGTTCATTTTTGTGATTGGTGTTGTATCTTATTTTTGTCACTATGTTTTTGCTGTTCTAGAATTTCTTATATATCGAATTATACAGTACAATATGGAATCTCGTGTTTGACTTATTTTACTTAGGAAACTGATTCATCTTTGCTGTTTTGTGTGTTCACATTTTGTTTCTTTTTGCTGTAATCTGGATATCTCATAGTTTTAAAATTTATCAGTTGAAATAAAATTGGATTGAATTAAATGCTTTGTGTGAGCATATATTTTAAATTTACTTGTGTAAATATTGGGGAGTAGGTTTGTTGCGTTTTCTGGGAAGTATGTGTTTAATTTTTAGAAAATGGTGCAGTGGCTGATGCATTCCAACCAGCAATTTATGAAGAGCTCCAGCTGGTTTGTATCTATTTCAACACTTGATCTTGTTAGACTTTATGGTAACTTCATGGTGCTTTTAATTGCAACTTTCTGGATATTTGGTGATGTTCAGCATCTTTTAATGATCTTAATGGTCAGTCATATATCTTCTTTTCTAAAATATTTGTTTGCCTTGTCCAGGAGGCTCAATTGGTTGGAGAATCTTCCCAAGCACCAAAAGGTGGCAGGTTTGATTTGCGGTCAGGACATACAACTAGGTTGTCAGTGTGATTCCCAGTAGGGGCATGCATAGGAGGCAACTGGTCAGTGTTTCTCTCTATTTCAAGAAAAATCAATAAAAAAATATTCTTAGGTGAGGATAAGCTTTTTAAAAAAATATTTGTTCAAATCTTTAGCCTGTTTTTACTTTTTTGTCTTATTGAAGTGTAAGCATTCTTTATATATTCTGACACAAGTCATTTGTCAAATAGTTGGTTGTTCACTATTATTTATTTTCTCCTGGTCTGTGGCTTTCCTTTTTGTTTTCTAATGTCTTCTAAAAGTCAAACATTTGATTTTGATAAAGTCCATTTTACTGATTTTTTTCAGTGATAATTCAGGCCATTTTATGACTTTTTAAGAAGATTTTGCCTAACTTACTGTCACAAAGATTTCTCCTGTTTTTTTTTCTAAAAGTTTAATTTTTTTCCCCTAGCTGGTTTGGCTCAGTGGATAGAGCATTGGCCTGTGGATTGAAGAGTTCTGAGTTTGATTCTGGTCAAGGGCACATGCCTGGGTTTCAAGGTTGATCCCCACTAGGGGGCGTGCAGGAGGCAGCCAATCATTGATTCTTCTCTCCCTCCCTCCCTCTGCCTTCCTCTCTGCAATCAATAAAATATATATTAAAAAATAAAAATAAAAGTTTACTAATTTTCTCGACATTTAGATCTATGATCCATGTCATGGTGGGGTTTCCAAGATGCCCCACAGATTTGATGACTCATTGGGAAGATTCATAGGAATCAGGATGTGGTTGCACTCATAGTTATTATTAAAAAAAGATGCATAACAAAAGCTGGTACTAAAAGAGATGCATAGGACGAAGTCTAGAGGAAACCAGATGCAAACTTCCAAGAATCCTTTTCTAGTGATTTTCCCAGTGACAATCAATTCTTTCAGCATCAGTTGTAATAAAATGTGTGAAGCATTGTCTACTAGGAAAGCTCATTAGAGACTTAGTGCCCAAATCTTTCACTGAGGGTTGTTCATGTAAGCATTAACTGCTTAGCATATACCAAAATTCCAGACTCCCAGAAAGAGAGCAGATATTTAGCACAAACCATATTGTTTGTGTGTAAACCACACTTATTAGTTAGGGAATGAGGGAATATCCCTAAAATTGAAATTCCCAGATACCAGTGAGGCCCAAATTGTAAACAGACTTTCTGTGGTGTGTGGTAAGATTTGAGATCCCCCTGCCCCCAGACCCCAGATATTGGGTTATTCTGGTATCATTTATTAAAAAGATTATATCTTTTTCCCATTGAATTACCTTGCCATTTTTGTGAAAAATCCTTGATTATATTTTTGAACTTTTTTTCTGTTTCATTGATCTACCTGTATATCCTTATTTCTGAGCTCTTGGACTGTTGTGCCTGATAAGAGTATCTTACAAGCCTGGGGTCTTGAGCCATGGTATACCAGTTTGCCCATTCATTTATACTAAACATGTGATTTATGGTGAAAATTTGCTTTCCTTCTATGCTCAGAAGCTTTAGTTACTAATGTCATAGATACTGATGACAGTGTATGTGCATTAGGTGTACAGCACCTACGTGATCCCTAAAAAAAAAAAAAAAAAAAAAGCCTGGACAATCTATCTTACAAAGTTCTACTGGTGTCAGCTCTTTATACATGTTTTTTTAAATTTTTTTAATTTTTTTATTTTTTATTTATAATTTGTTGCTGAAGGAATTAAGCAGGTCTTAGGTGACTCCACTGGCAGAAGAGATCTTGGGATACTTTGACAGATTTTACTTTTGCTCTAATGAACCATAACCCTGAGTATAACAACTTTCTGAGCCCTTTGAGTTCTTCTAGCAAATCATCAAGCCTTAAGATAGTCTTGTGGACTTCTATCATAGGACTATTTCAACTTTCTATTTCTTCTTGAATCAGTGTTGGTAATTTGTCATTCAAGAAATTTATTCATTTCATCTAGGTTGTCAATTTATTTGCATTAAGTTAACATTCTCCAATCTATGAGGACAAGGTAGCAGAGAGGTTAAATTATTTGACCATGGTCACACAACTAGTATGTGGAACAGCAAGAGTTCAAAGCCAAGTAAGTTGGCTTCAGAACCAGTCTCAGACCATTCCCCTTTTAGAGCCAGCCTTCCTGTTTGATTCCTTCCTCCTTTTTACACCTTGGTTCAACCTCTAATCAATATCTGGTATTAGCTGTCCTTTGGGAGGGATCTGGCTTTGGTATACATTTTTTGTTTTAAACTAGAGGCCCGGTGCACAAAATTTGTGCATGGGGGACGGTGGGGTGGGGGGAAGTGTTGTCCCTCAGCCCAACCTGCACCCTCTCCAATCTGGGACATCCCTCTCACAATCCAGGACTGCTGGCTCCCAACTGCTCACCTGCCTGCCTTCCTGATTGCCCCTAACCACTTCTGCCTGCCAGCCTGATCACCCCCTAACCCAGTGGTTCTCAACCTTTCTAATGCCGCGACCCCTTAATACAGTTCCTCATGTTGTGGTGACCCCCAACCATAAAATTATTTTCGTTGCTACTTCATAACCATAATTTTGCTACTGTTATGAATCGTAAAGTAAATATCTGTGTTTTCTGATGGTCTTAGGCTCTACAGACAACCCACAGGTTGAGAACTGCTGCTGTAGAGCCTAAGGCGATCAGAAAACACGGATATTTACATTACGATTCATAACAGTAGCAAAATTATGGTTATGAAGTAGCAACGAAAATAATTTTATGGTTGGGGGTCACCACAACATGAGGAACTGTATTAAGGGGTCGCGGCATTAGAAAGGTTGAGAACCACTGCCTTAACCTCTCCCCTGCCAGCCTGATTGCCCCTGACTGCCCTCCCCTGCAGGCCTGGGTTCACCCCATCTACCCTTCCCTGCAGGTCTGGTCGCCCCCAATTTCCCTCCTCTACTGGCCTGGTCATCCCTAACTGCCTTCCCCTGCAGGCTTGATTGCTCCTAACTGCCCTCCCTTGCTGGCCATCTTGTTGCGGCCATCTTTGACTACATTGGTGCAGCCATTTTGTGTGGTGGAGTGATGGTCAATTTGCATATTATTTTTTTATTAGACAGGATAGGATTATTAGATAGGATATGGGTAGAAATGACCAAGTCCTTAGAAATCTGTAGTCAATAAATTACCGTATTTTTCGGACCATAAGACACTCCGGACCATAAGACGCACCAGTTTTTAGAGAAGGGAAATGAAGAAAAAAAGATTCTGAAACAAATAGTGTCCTAAAATATTTTATGTGCATTAAAACCCAACATCACAGTCATAAACACATGTAATCAACCCTGTAAAGTAAACAGCAGCATTTAGAACCATTTTAGAGCCAGGCAAGCACACAGAGACCACACAGAGCCGGGCAAGCAAAAAAACTTTTTTTTTAAAGTATATGTGTAGGCTATATTTGGACCATAAGACACAGGGACTTTTCCCCCCACTTCTGGGGGGAAAAAAGTGCGTTTTATGGTCCGAAAAATACGGTAGTTCTCCTTGAACTTATAGTCTTGTTGCAAACAGAAAATTCTATACTAGTTATTGCTCATTCAAAGTTGTTTGTACTTTTCAGATAGTTATAATAGTTGAACGTTTCTATTTGTTCATTATTTTCATTTACAATCAGATTCTGGTTTGTTGCATAATGTTTTGCAACAAAATGTCACTATAAGCATAATTACTAGTATATTTGTTTGAATTTCTTTTTTTATTGAAATACTTTATTTTTGAAACATGTTTAATCTTCTAATGTTGTCGGAAAATTGACATGAGGTTCTTAAGAGGATTTATGTTTTATTGCTATCAAGTGCAAAATTCATTTTTATAAGTAACTGCTGCCTTAGACACACAGTTGAGCTATACGTCATCTGCCATTTGATGTTAAATGATGCCAAGAGTGACCTAGTAAGCAGTCGGTGGTTATAGTACAAAAATAATCAAAGGTTTAGTCAATAACTCATGAAGTTTGATGTACTAGTATTGATAAACTAATTAAACAGTTCTGCCTGTGTTCTTCCAGCCTACTGGGGCTCTGCTATGATTAGCTTTACAGCAAGGAGTGTTGTAACATTGAATGAAAGTAACTGATCAGAAAATGGTGTAGTCACGGAGCTTTAAGTACTCCCATTTCTGGTCACAGAATGGTTTCAGGGAAAGTAGGTTTTCTCTGCACACCTGCAGCCAGTCAGTGCATAGGCCTCTTGTGGTCAGTATTGATTGATTCTTATAACAGAACTAGAACAAATTTAGTGTTTTGCAACCTTCTGTGATTTAATATTGTTATGCTTTTTGCTGTAACGGTCACAGAATCCTTCTATAATAGTGGATAATTATAGCAATACCTACTAGCTCAGCTGTGGTTCTGAATGTTTCAGTGTTGCCAATATAAACTTCTGGATATATTCTGGAGTTTATAATTCAGCTTTAAAAGTTGGCTATACCAATTATTTGGTAAATAAAGGTGTTAAGTAAGAAATCACAAGAAGCTGAGGGAATGGGTGGACCCATTCTTTCAAAACTTTCCAGAAAACTATGGACTGAATATAATTAGTTAGGAGAAAGAATATTCAAAGTCATTAATTTTTTAAAACCCTACAAGTTAAAGACTTTAGAGGCAATCTTTATAATACCTATCATTTCTTCACAGTATGTTGGTGTCCTCCTAAACATCTGAAAAGATATGAATTATAACCATTGGTGGTAAGTTAGACCCTAGATGTAGCAATCTATGAGAAATGTTTTAATTTTTTTCAGTGGGCTGTGATGTTTCATTCAGCTCTTACAATATGCCAGGCATTGTGATAGGTACACTGATAGGTACTGGAAATATAGAGATAAATAAGGAATGATTTCTGTGCCAAGTAACCTCGAAACAATCTTACATAAATACATCTTGTGTGTTAATTTGACATTTTGAAATTGCTATATATAAATTAGGTAACCTGCCAATGTTAATTGTTTTTTGATCCAGTTGTAATCTTAGGAACTTTAAAATCTGGTTGGGGAGAAAATCATCAATAACTCAAATAATTAGATGAATGTTTCTTAAACTGTAATTTAAGAATTTTTAAAACATATTTTCATTTAAAAAAATCTAAAACATTAGGTATATTTTGGATCATTTGGTTGCCATCTTATATACACATAATTTTTGGAATCCATTTGTATTTTTGTGTAAGATCATTGGTTCTAAGAGATTATTTAAAGGGTTCATAAAAAAAAGGTTCATAGTCTTTCAGGGGCTTACGTGGGTTAATAACATATGTAGATGTGAGATCATCCATTGATTGATTGATTGGCATTCAGAGGTGTGGTTGTTTTTAGGAGTGAGTTTGTTCTTGATTGGCTAATGCTTAGAAGCAAGGAGCTGTAAAAGATGGGTTGACTTGCAAAAGTTTGTTCATTTAGTGAGTTTTATTAATAATAATGATATAGAAAGTATGCTCATTAAGTTTTCACTCGTGCTAATAAAATTTTAAAGAGCAGCAAAATAGGTCAGATTACAAATTAAGGTATAAAATTACCTTAGGATACTGTGACGGGCTGAATTTAAGTTGTTGAACATTTCTATAGGTAAATGTAAGATCTTGCCTTTCTTTTAAAATAAAGAAAAAAACCCTCACTAGGACAGTTTCAAGTGTGGCTTGATTTAGTCAGTAGAATATTTGGGAAAGGTGTGTTGTCGTAATTAAGAATTAGTTGTATCACTGGAAGCACCTCATCTGGAACAAAGTCTTAACTAGTTTGTTCTTAACCTTCATTTGTAGTTTACAATGTTATACTGAAAGAAATATAGACAAATTGGAGTGAGTTCAGAAGGGAGCAAAAAGATGGTAAAGAAACTCAAAAACTAAAGAAACTGGAGTGGGAAGAAAGGGAGGCCATGCAGTTGTCTTTAAAATAGTCCAGATTAGTTAGTATGATATAATATGTGGCCCAGTGTAGCACTGATTTTCCTTTTCAGCATCAATTCCAGCTATTTTTAATGACATATTAATTTCTCATTCTCTCTGAGCATTCCATAAACTTTTAGGAATGCACTATACTGATATATAAGGAAATTAATCAGGAAGTGGTATCTGAAGATATTTGAAAGGGAGATACAGGCTATGAGCAGTGCCAGAGGAGGCAATTGATGGATTTCAAATCAAATTCTGATTTTCATTTAACTTTTCTGTTTATCATAGTTTTGTTATAAAACAATTAAATTGTCTTTAAAAACACTTTTCTGAACACACTTCTATCCTTTGACATTTTTGTCACATGTTATTCTTACTGAGCTGAAGATATTATATAATATATATTGGGATGTGAATATTACCATACAAATAGATTTGGAGCTTCAGCATCTATGACAGATGAAGAAACAATCCACCACACCATATATTATAATTAGTACGCAGAACCCAAGTTCTGTGTATTATTTGTATCCCTCATTTTGAAATTATTTTTGTAGTTCAGTTAGTATTTGAATAGTCTTATGAGTTTTGCTCAAGGACGTTTTTTTTAACACCTTGGTAGGATGTTATTATTATAGATTAGATTATTAAAATTCCTATTTCACAAGCTTTTTCTACCATTTATTATCCTATAATATATATATAGGGTGTAGCAGAAGTAGGTTTACAGTTGTGAGTACATGAAACAGTGTAATTCTTGTATTAGTATTTATTAATTATTGCATTATTTTCTATATGAGAACTATTTTTAATCCACCCAGTATTCATCTTTATTTTATAATATAAGCCATGACCAGGCTCAGTTATTTACTTCAAGGAAATTAAGGATGGATTATGGTATAGAAAATACTGAATTTTAATTTTCATTCTGGCTAGGATTAAATGATTTAAAAAAAAAATTTTTTTTTAACAGATCAAGAAGTTAGTATATGTTTACCTGGTTCGATATGCTGAAGAACAGCAGGATCTGGCACTCTTGTCCATAAGTACTTTTCAGCGAGCTCTGAAGGTAAATAGAGTGAGCAGGCAAATAGCTACAAGGTTTGTGCACAGTTGAAGATGTGTCATTTAAAGAAGTGGAGCAATAATTCACTAAATGGCGCAGTAGTGTTTTGAAAGAGTTAAAAGGCCTCTCACAGTGCTTATTCAATACCCTTAGAAAATAATTTATATAACCAACTGGACCTTGCCCTGTATGTTTCAGTTTGTATGATGATTACCATGCGTCAGAGAACTCTTCATCATTATAATAACTAGTTGTTGAAAGTGTACAAAGAGGGAACATGACGTTTAAAGTAAAAACTTATGACCTATACCATTTTATTATTATGAAACTCAAAAACCTAATATGTTTAATAATAAATGATTAACAAGAATTATAACCATTATTTTTCTTATTAAAACATTATTCAGAGAAATAAACATTTATTAATCCTTTTTTTTAACCAATTTCCATATACTGATTATTTATTGTAAATTAAGTAGCTTTCCCCCTGCTATTTTTACATTGCATCCTTTAAGCATCTATTAACTATAAAGATGTCTTTGAAATACTGTAAACTTGAAATTTTGATGAATATTTTTGCATAATTTTTAGGATCCAAATCAGCTAATTCGTGCAAGTGCTTTGAGAGTTCTGTCAAGTATTAGAGTGCCAATTATTGTACCTATTATGATGCTCGCTATTAAGGAAGCTTCTGCTGATTTATCACCATATGTTAGGAAGAATGCAGCCCATGCCATACAAAAGTTGTACAGGTAGGTGCCTTGTTAACAATGCCAAATGTTTCTAATATTATATGGAATGCTCTATAATCTGTGGAGGCCTATTTTTTTTTTTTTTTTATTTTTTTTTTTTAGCTCTTTTAACTAATCAGTTCTTATATTAAGTAGTGATTTGAAGGAGTTAAAAGAGTGACTATGTTTTTCCCACCACAAAATTCTTTAGACAACTTTGTTTAGGTTATAGAGACCCTACACAGGTTTTACTTGTGAGCCTGTTAAGGCCTATAATACTTTATAGATTTTATAACTTAAAAATAATCAGAATTTAAATTCTTATTTATATGGTCTACCTCTCATGTACACGTAAACATATATAATAGAAAACTATTATTATTTTCAGTTTACTGTAGAGTAGGAATCGTAAGTATGTTATCTTCTCAACTCGCTTTGTTTCCCTTTCTTCATCTTTGGTCCTGCAGTTTCCTTCTTTGTCTGATTCTTTCCCAGATATATATTAATAAATATTTTTTAAAATATAGCTCCATACCATATTTTTATGATACTTATTAAAATATCATACACTTCTTGCCTAACCTGTTTGGCTCAGTGGATAGCGTGTCGGCCTGCAGATTCAAGGGTCCCAGGTTCGATTCCGGGCAAGGGCATGTACCTTGGTTGCGGGCACATCCCCAGTGGGGAGGGTGCAGGATGCAGCTGATCGATGTTACTCTCTCATCAATGTTTCTAACTCTTCTATTCCTCTCCCTTCCTCTCTGTAAAAAATCAATAAAATATATTTAAAAAAATAAAAAAAATAAAATACCATACACTTCTTGATCTCAGTGATAAATATATTGTTTAAGTAAAAATAATACTATCTGCAATAATTTGGTATTCTTTTTTTTTTGTTTAAATATATTTTATTGATTTTTTAAAAAATAAATCTTTATTGTTCATATTATTACAAATGTTCCTCTCCTCCCCCCCCCCATTGCTCTCCTCCACCAGGTTCCCACCCCACCCTCTGCCCTTTCCCCACCCCCCATTGTCCTCATCCATAGATGCACAGTTTATGTTCAGTCTCTTCCCATATCCCCCTCTCCTCTTTTCCCCAAGAATCGACAGTTCACTCCCCTTCCATACCTCTGATTCTGTTATATTCAACAGTTAATATTGTTCATCAGATTTTTTTTTTAAATTTCCTTGTTTTTTAGATTCACTTGTTGATAGTTACGTATTTGTTGTTCATAATTTTTATCTTTATTTACTTTCTCTTCCGAAAGAACCCCCTTCAGCAATTCATATAATTTTGGTTTGGTGGTGATGAACTCCTTTAGATTTTTTTAATTAGTGAAGCTCTTTATCCGGCCTTCGATTCTGAGTGATAGCTTTGCTGGATAGATTATTTTTGGCTGTAGGTTCTTACTATTCATCACCTTGAATATTTCTTGCCATTCCCGTCTGGCCTGCATGGTTTCTGTTGAGAAATCAGCTGACAATCATATAGGTGCTCCTTTATAGGTAACTACTTGCTTTGCTCTTGCTGCTTTTAATATTTTCTCTTTGTCTTTTACTCTTGGAATTTTAATTATGATTTGTCTTGGTGTGGTCTTATTTGGATTCCTTTTGTTTGGAGTTCTGTGTGCTTCTTGGCCTTGTAAGTCTAATTCTTTCACCAGATGGGGGAAGTTTTCTGTCACTATTTCTTTCAGTATGTTTTCGATATCTTGCTCTCTCTCATCTTCTGGGACCCCCATAATTCTGCTGTTGGTTCGCTTGAAGTTGTCCCAGAGGTTTCTTACATTATCTTCAACTTTCTGGATTCTCTTGCCTTCTAGCTTCTGTGGAGGAGTGTCTTCTGGTCTTTATGTTCCAAATCTTTGACTTGATTCTTGCGGTCTTCCATTCTATTTTTAGGACTCTATATAATATTTTTTATTTCAGACAATGTATTTTTTGTTTCTTGTTGATCCCTTATTATTTCTAGTTGATCCCTTTTCATATCCTCATAGGTCTCATTTATTTTATCGGCCTTTTCTAGGAGATTCTTGAACACCTTATAAGTGTGGTTTTTTAATTCTATATCCAGTCGCTTTTTGTCCTCCATTTCTTTTATTTGTGATCTATTTCGTTGTCTTGGCATTTTCGCCGCTTCCCTGATGGGGCAGAGTTTCAGGGTGGAGCCTACAGGTTTGGCTTCGGTCAGCCACGCCCTATGTGGTTCCTGAGTCTCAGTAATCCCCAGGGTCCTTCAGTACTCACTGCAAGTGCCTCTGAGAGAAAGGTGTCCTCGATTTTCGCCTGCTACCAAACAGTGTAGGCTCTCCCAATGAGCCCGGAACTGGGGTTCAGTTCAGTTGGAAGTGGGTTGGAGGTGGCGTTCAGAGCAGTCTGGAGCCCCTGTCTCCTTCCCGCCAGGGCAATCCCGCGGCACAGCCAACTGTTCCTTCTCTGCACGCAATGTGCATGCTGCCGGGACCTCCTTTCGCTGCTCCCCCGGGGTTCCGCCTTACACCCCAGCTCCCTCTGTTTGAGCCTGGGTCCCCGGGGTCTGACCTAGAACTGGGGTTCAGAGGAGTTGGAACTGGGGCCCAGCACAGTCTGGAGCCTTTGTCTCCTTCCCGTCAGGGCAACCTGGCAGCAGAGTCAACAGTCGGTCCTCTGCGCACAATGTGCGCGCCTCCGGGACTGCCTCTCCGCGTGTGCCGCGTGTCTCCATACCTTAGGCTTTTACAGCTCCTCCGCTCTTCCTTCTGGATTTTCCCTTGCTTCTCGTTGTAGAATTTCCAGTCAGTCGACTTTCCTGTAATTCTGGGTAATGTCCATTTTATATTTTAGTTGTATTTTATTGAAATTGTTGTGTGCAGCTGCGGCTAGGTGTTTACCTGTGCAGCCATCTTGGATTCTCTCTGTCCAAGCTCTGGTATTCTTTTCTGTTACCATTAATTCCACAAGCTTTTGTCAATATTATTTTGGTTCCTGGTGTTATGAAATATGTATAAAATATATTTTAAAAAAGTAGATGTATTACACATATTTGAGGGAAAAAATCAAACATATGCTAAATAATAAAAGGCAATCTATAATTGAATATGATATTAACATATGATATATATGTACATACAAAGGCACACTAACAATACCTGTAATAGGTTAAGGCTCAGAAATTACATATGGGGTTTCATAATGTAAAGATGTAGTGAAATGGCATTAGTTGGAAAAGACTTCCTTGAGAAGGAAGACTGGGGCTGAAATTTGAAAGAAAAGGTTTGAATATTCAGATAATTATAATAGTAATAAACATAAAAATAAATATATAATAAAAGCCTAATATGCTAAGTGTCTGGTTGTCGGTTCAACCAATCAAAGCATAATATGCTAATGATATGCTAAGGCTCCTGAGTCATTTGCTATGATGTGCTCTGACCACCACGGGGCAGTCAACCAGTCGACTAGTCACTATGATGTGCACTGACCACCAGGGGCCAGATGCTCCAACCGATAGGTTAGCTTGCTGCTGTGGTCCAGCAGCAAGATGGGCAGACATGATCAGGACAGAGCAAGATGGGCAGATATGCCCCGAAGCCCTCCTGCGGTCCCTCCCCGGCTGACCAACCTCCCATATCCCTCCCCAGCCTTGATCATGCACTGGTGGAGTCCCTCAGCCTGGCCTGCACCCTTTTATAATCCAGGCCCCTTTGGAGGATGTTGGAAAGCTGGTTTTAGCCCGGTCCTGCAGACATAAAAGCTTAATATGCAAATCGACCAAATAGTAGAACAGCTGGTTGGTATGATGTGCACTGACCACAAGGGGACACTCAATGCAGGAGCTTCTTCCTGGTGGTCAGTGTGCTCCCACAGGGGGAGCGCCACTCAGCCAGAAGCCAGGCTCACAGCTGGTGAGTGCAGAGGTTGCAGTTAAAGATGTCTGACTGATGGCTTCCAGAGAGGTTACTTAATGTTTTCTTACTTTTTTTAAAAAGTGAACTTGTTATTTAAATACTTTCTTAATGGTATTGGTATCTGAATTTAATATGAGCAACTTTAGAGAGAAAGAATAGGTCACATTTGGGAGAAAAAGCATCCCATTTTACATTAAATTCATTTCTATTCTTATCTTTACATAATTCTTGCTTTCCCTTTCCCTCTTTAAATGTTTCTCAGTATTTTTGAAATGGTTAGTTTCATATAAAGTTAGAATTAAAGGAAAAAATTTAATGTATGTTCTTTTCTCTTTATGTTTTAGCCTTGATCCAGAGCAGAAGGAAATGTTAATTGAAGTTATTGAAAAACTTTTGAAGGATAAAAGCACAGTAAGTAATATATTCTTAAGTTTGAGTACAATTATACTTTACTTACACAGAATCATTTTACTGTTATATATTTGATGTAATTATTCTTATTGCTTTTTGAATGGTATAAAAGTAGAATATTATAATTCTTGAAGAATAAAACTATCCACATAAAGGGAAGGATTGCATTTAAAATTATTTTTTTTTAACAACTGGGTGGTTAAGGCATGGGGTAGGCTAGAAGGGGTCAATGGAGGGAAAAGGAGACATCTAATACTTTTAACAATAAAGATTTAAAAAATATTTTGTTGGTTACATGTTTCTTCACAGACTCTGAAGAAGAGGAAGTTGGTAAAAAAAAAAAATGCTTTCTTTAATCTGTGGCTAACTTATTAACTGATTTTAGTGCCAAAGTTTTTATTTCAAGCAATGATTTATTAGAGTTTTTAAAGGCTGAATCACCTGGGAATAAATAATTATTTTAAAATAAAGTTTTTAAAAATATTAGAGACATTGAAAAATTAGAGAAGTGTGTTTTAGTATTAGAATTTTTAAAAAATACTGAACATTTTCATATGTACAAGACTTTTATTGACTGGTAAGAAAGATCTTACTGACTAATATGAGTCATCTTTTAGGAATGGGTATAATTCTGCCTTCTTTCTTTTCCACTCTCATTCTTTGTATTTGATGATAATGGGATCTAGGAATAGTGATGAACCATGGGTTCTGTGAGCTGACCTCTGAAGGAGCAGATATAATGGTTTCTTTGATGGAGGCTTCTGCACCCACCTCTATGGCTCTACTATTGAGGAAAAGGCTGCCAGCTCATTTTAGAATAATATCAGCAGTTATCCAAATACAGTAGCAACTAGCCCCTTATAGCTATTGTTGGTTGGTGTAGTGCATGATTTGTCATGGAGAATATTTAATTTGCACTTGAGAAGAATGTGTATTCTCCTGTTGTTGTGTGTAATGTGTTATGTTTGAGTGTTTTATGTCTGTTAGGCCTAATTAGTTTATAGTATTGTTCACGTCTTCTGTTCCTTTGTTGGGTTTTCTGCCTGGTAGTTTTATCCATTATTGAAATTGAAGTATTGCAGTCTACTGGTATTATTGTAGAGCCATCTTATTTCTTTTTTTAATTCTGTCAGTATTTACTTCATATATTTAGGAGCTCTGATGTTTGGTGCATATATGTTTATAATTGTTTTTTTCTTCCTTTTGTCATTATAAAACATCCATTTATCTCTAGTAATGCTTTTTGTTTTAAAGTCTATCTTGTCCATTATAATTACAGCCACTCCAGCTTTTTTATGGTAGCTGTTTACATGATATATCTTTTTCCTTGCTTTTACTGTCAACCTGTTGGTATTTTTAATTTAATGTGTGTCTCCTGTAGACAGCATATTGTTGGATTTTGTTTTTTATCCAGTTTTGAGTAGGTGCCTTTTGCTTAGATTACTTAATTTATTCGTATTTAATGTTATTATTGGTATAGTTGAATTTAAAGCTATTTTACGTATTTTTGGTTCTTTATTTCTCCTTTACTGCTTTGTTTTTACATTAAGTGAATATGTTCTGTTGAATATTTTAATTCCTTTAATGAGGTTTTTAATATATATATTTGGAGGTTTTATTCCTAGGCCATCCAGCAAATTTATTTTAACCTATGATGTAGCAGGATCTTCATTGTATTTCTTCTATAATATGTGGTATAAAGTAAGAGATAAACATGTATAGTTTTGTTTAATAAATAAATATATTTCAAAAATATATTTATTTATTAAACAAAAATCCTCAGGGTCAGCATGTTACTTAATGCAGACATATTATAGGCATTTCCTTTAGATTGACACAAGGAAGGATGCCCACCTTCTCAGCTACAATTAGAAATTGTACTAAAGGTGTAAGTCAAAATAATTAGACAAGAAAAATTAGTCAGGAATTAGAAAAAAGAAAGTACAACTTCTCTTTGCAGATGATATGATTCATTTTCTAGAATAAACCATAAAGAATGAAGAACAAAACTAAATCAAACAAAGAGCTCAGTAGACAAGCAGGTTAAAGAATTATCATTCAGAAAATCAATAGCTTTCTTATATACCAATATAGCAAGTTCAGTTATATAATGATAAAGCAATTTCAATTTATAATAGCATAAAAGTAAGACCAAGATAAAATGCAACTCTAAACCACTGCTTAACTCAGTTGTCTCCATCTCACTACTCCCCACAGAGGTACATTAGCAATTCTGAAACAATACTTTTCTCTGCATTCTGGAATGGAGCTAATAACTAAAAATATATTGTGGTAATGTGAGCCACATTTCTTAATGTTGGGCACTTTGCAATTTAACCATCATGTCTGATTTTTTTTTCTGTTTCTTACCTGTTTTCAATCAACTACCTTATTTTTGATGTCTCTTGTTCATTTCTATTCCCTGCTTTTGAATTTCTGATTCATGTAATTTTTCTATTCTCCAAATACTGCTTTGAGGGTGCTTATTAATTCATTTGGAGTGTTGTGTTTGTTTTCTTCTGCTTCATCATTGATTATTTTGTGGATAATTTTCAGCAGTTGAATTGTTTTGATTTTCTGTTTTTAGTACTTACAGATTACTTGCATCTTTACTTTTTTTTTCTGAATAGGGTTGGTGATGTGAGTTTGAGGAACTTTGTCAAATTCTAGTATAAAAGCACTCTGTCAGAATAGCAGAATGGCAGAATAGCAGTGCTTTTTAAAAAAATTAAGTGGCTTTTTTTGTTGTTTTGTTTTTACTTTTTTATGGGAAGGGCATCCAAAGGGATATATGTCCTAAGATTATTTTGAGTATGATTATTTTTTACTTTTAGGAGCCTGAATTTTTTCCTCTTTTATTCTGTCCCCTTACAGTTCCTAAGGTGTTCTTTTCCTCTACTCTTTAAAGCATCCTTCCTCATAATCAGCTTTGATCTACCAGGAATCATTTACAGTATAGTATTTTCATACTTAGAGTTCTCTTTCTGCTGTTGCTATTAATTACCTTTTATACCTACCACCAACTCCTGTCTGCTTTGTTTTGGTATCTCAGTTTTATCAGACTGAGATAGTATTCTGTGAAGTTTTGTGACATAAGCATGAAAGATAACTCTGGGATTGAGGACTGACTTTTCTGCTTTCATGTAATTTGAAGTTTGGAGGTTCTCTGTGTTTTAATTATACTTAGGACATAGGTTTACGACTTTAGTTTTTCTGGGTTTGGAATGGAAGATTCAGATCTACTCAGGTTTCAGAAGTATTTAAATTAGTTTTGAGAATGTTTTCTGATTTTCCCCTTTGTATGATTATTATCTCTTATAGATAGAATGAAAATATTTTTAGGTCTATACAGTTATTTATGGATCTTATCTTTGTTATTATCGATACTTTTGCTTGTTGCATGTAATACTTCATTGAAGGAAGACAGTTATATTTCTTCTTTCCCCCAAATTAATAATGTCAGCATGGACATTTAAAATCAATAAGAATTCTGCCCTGGCTAGTTTTGGTCAGTGGTTAGACATCAGCCCACAGACCATAGGGTTGTGGGTTCGATTCCTGGTCCAGAGCATATTACCTGGGTTACATGTTCCCCCAAACCAGTAGGGATGCATGGAGGAGACAACTAATCTATGTGTCAATGTTCCTTTATCTCCTCCTTTCCCCCCCACTCCCCCACCCCCGGACCTTCCACTTCTCTCCTTTCCACTCTCTGGAAATCAGTGGGAAAAATATCCTTGGATGAGGATTTAAAAAAGATATATAAATCATGTTTGTTTAAAAATTTCCCAATTAAATGAACAAGGTCCAATTTATTTTCACATTGTGAAAAAGAATGTGTTATCAGCAGAGCTTCTTGGGGTCATTATCATGATGACATTGCTGTTGCTGTTGATAAGTAAAACTTGAAAGGTATTAATATATTTAAAAAGTTTCCATTTAACCTCTGTTAATTTTTTAAAATAGATATTTTTACATTGATTTCAGAGAGGAGGGGAGAGGGAGAGAGAGAGAAACATCTGTGATAAAAGAGAATCATTGATCAGCTGCCTCCTGCACCCCCCTGCCCCGCCCGCAACCTGGATTTGAGCACGCACCCTAGGCATGTGCCCTGACTGGGAATTGAACTGTAACCTCCTGGTTCATAGGCCAACATTCAACCACTTAGCCATGCCAGCTGGGCTGTTGCTTATTGTAGCCTAAGAAGATTTTCCTACAATTGAGATAAGTCTCCAAGAAAACTAGTTCTAGAACACTTTAAGTAAAGGTGGAATATATATTCAGTACATATTAAAAGATAATAGATTGGCTTTTCCCTTTTACTAGAGAAAGAGCAATATTTTTCATATGATAATTCTTTCCTAATAATAAATAATTTGGGGTTTAGGAATATAGTTATGGTAATATAACTGGAAGAACATATGTTACTTACCTAATTATTGTTTGAATATATCTGTAAATTTTTAAAAACCTCATAACTACAGTCAATAAAATTAAAAAGGGAATATTTTACCTATATTCCCCAATCATTACAAGTTTTCTTTATATAATTTCTTCATTTTATATTCTCATATTTACCATTTTCATCCTATTTTCTCTATTTAACATATCCTGAACACTTCCTTACTATAAACCTTTACTGATTTTCAGTTATACATTCATTTTTTAAATTTGTAACACTTTTTAAATGCAGAAATCCATATTTGTTGAGCAAGTTAAGCATAGTAGTGGATGGTCTCTCTTATTTAGTACACCTCAAAAGCAGGCTGGTATTTATTTGTTTTTCCTTCTACATTAATTTTAAAGAAATCCTTTTGATGGCATTTAACTTTCTAATAGAATAGAATGTTACTTAGGAAAACAATTTTGATCCATGGCTACTGAAAAACCGAAGTTTTTTTCCCCCCCAGGAGAAAGTTTCCACTTAATTTAGCTACAAAATGATGTTTAATGAATATATTGTTCATAACTAAGCTGTGGGGAGAAGATACCATTTTCTAAGTTATTGATTTAATGTTGGTAAAAGCCTCACTGTTGTGGGCAAAAAACCCACACCTCTGAGTTTGTGCAGATGTTTTGTTGTGATAGATCTATTATCCAGCTATTAGAAGATAAATGACGGATCTTTCCCATTTTCCATGCCTCAAGAAAATTGAAATAAGAAGGGGAATATCATTTGGGCTGTATGATTAGGGCAGGTTGGATGGCCATTAATTTAAGAGAAGAAAATCTTGGCAGCATTGGCCAGCTTATACCATATTATCAATCAAACCTTGATGCACTTCTTGTGATGACCCAGCACTCTCAGGTTTTTGCAACGTTAATTAGAATTCATGACAAAATAGATGCAAGGAAACGTTTTGTACCCTTCATAATTTTATAGAAAATTTATTGTTATTAGTGGAACCATTTGCTTAGTGTGATTTTTTTCATTACCAGCTTGTCAACTAGCATAGATAATCTGGAGAAAATATGAACTCCATAGATGGGGTGTCACTTTTGTTGATGGTTCATGTAGTTTACCTTGGAGCACAGCTAATGGCTGAAGTTCATAGCAACAGCACAGAAAAACGTGGCAACCAAGGGAAGATAAATGAACTATGTTTATTGCTTTAATATAAAAAATACATAAATGGAAAACTGCATTTGAATTTGATGAGCTCATTGCTAGTTTTGTTGGAGTGATTTATTTTTCTCCTTATATAAACAGCTACTATTGACACAGTGGGATAGAAATTAACTGTCTTTTTTTTGGGAAATGAATATTTTTGGTTTTAAAATCTGAGTAAATAATTTTATTTTAATTCTGGGAGTTTTATAGAGTATTGAACGTTTAACAGACCTTAATTATTAATTCTTCTGGCAGTGTTTTAGCCAAGGGTAAGTTTGTTAAAACCTTACAATGAAATATCTAAAATAGCCAGTTTTATTTTGCAAAGGCATCTTTTTTACAGTCTTCCTAATTATTTGTTTCTTAAACTTTATTTGTACTTGTGTAATTATTTTCTTTCATTTTTCATGTTCTTTATTAGTACTTAAGAATTATTTTGTATCTATAGTTCTTGGTTTAATAGATTTAATAACATGTGGTAGCTGATTTTTCTTTTAATTATTTGGTATCTACGAAACACTTTGAAAAAAAGATACTCTAGGCTTAGGCAAAATAAGCCTTTATTTTACACAATTCTTACATTTAAACTTTGTTGAATTATTATTTCAAAATTCCATGGATTATTTTATTCTAAGTGGTATTATTTATTTTTGTATTTGAACACCTTTTACTAATTGATACAGATATGCCTATGTATAAAATATATATAAATATAGATATATTTCACAATTACGAAGTCATTCTATAGTTTGATGCTATAAACTTAGTTGTTTTAAGAGTTTTTAAAATATTAATTTTATCCTTTTGAAATACGATTATCACAGAATATAATTTTTAAAGATTTATGAAAAAGACATCAAAATGTAAAGTTGAAAACACTAACTTAACTTCCTTTCCATATAAATAGCAAATAGAAAATTATATGTATAATGCAGTTTTATATAGTTCACACAAATAGTCAATTCTTTGCTTTTTCAATTGAAGTGTATACATGCTGAGACCAGCAGGCGCCAGTACATGGGCAGGGCTGGAGTCAATAAATGCAGCTTCACGTTTATGCTGATTGGTAATTCATAAAATCCCCACAGGACTGGAAACTTGTTTAGCATAATAGCAAGTCTATATTCTGAGCTGTTTTCTTTCAATTGTATTGTTGGTTGCATATTAATAAACTAAATGTCAGCCAAGTAGAGGGACAAACATTAAAAATATGAATATCATTGTATCTAATATTTTTCAAAAAGTACCGTTTCAGTATATTATTTCAGTAAGTTATATTTCTACTTAATTCTGTATTGTAAGTCATTGGGGAAATTTTAGACACTAAAATGAAGATCCCTAGTGTTCAGAAAGAATATGATATTAATTTATTTTTTCAAAATTGTTTTATATTGTTGGCTAAATATATATATGTAAACTATTTGTGTATCATATATTTTGCTTAGCTTGTATTTTTATACCAAAGAAATCTTGATTTCACCACTTTGCAAAAGCATGAGAATTCCCCAAAAAGCATTTATGGTTCATTAATTGGTCTTAGAGAAAGCTGCCTTTTGTTGGTAATTAATTATTTCAATTTAAGCACATAAGTGATAAAGCTGTACTAAAATTATAGCCTGTATTTTCTTTGTAAATAAATTATATTGGTAAAAACAGGTGGATTAAAATGTGTAAGATATGAAAGTGCTTTTGTTTCAAAAACATTTATGAGTTTCTCATTCACATTTTAAGATACATTCATTGTGAAATTATTGTCATTTTCATTGTAAACTGATATAATGTGGTCATGGTTATTGTCTTGATTCTTTTTCTGAATATTGTCATGTATTAAATAATGGCTCTTTAGATTAGAATTTAGGTTAGCTTTAAAAATGAAAAATGTGCATGATGAGTATATTTAATCCATATGTGAACAATTTGTAGAAGTTTAACCTCATGAAATAAAAAATTACCCAAATTTCTAATATTAGTATTTCAGAAAAATATTAGTTTTATATACATGTTACAACTCTTAAAATTATTCTTTTAGGGAGTGACACTTTAAATTTTGTTATTTAAACATGTATAATCATTTATTATTATTACTTTTTATTCATACTTTTTTATTAATAAAATATTAAAAGTTTTACATATGTATTCTTTTCCCCCAATTGAACGCCCCCCCCCAAGCCATTCTCACCCAGGCAAGCCCCCAGGACCCAGTGTCTGTGTCCATTGGCTATGCTAATACGCATGCATACAAGTCCTTTGGTTGCTCTCTAACCTACTCCCCTTCCCTACCATTTGTCTCTGGATCTATTCTTGTTCATCAAATTATGTTGATGATTATATCCAACATATGAGTGAGATCATGTCATATTTATCTTTCTCTGACTGGTTTGTTTCGCTTAGCATAATGCTCTCCAGTTCCAGTCATGCTGTTGCAAATGGCAAAAATTCCTTCTTTTCTTTATATTAATAGCACCACAGTATTCCATTGTGTAGATGTACCACAGTTTTTTAATCCACTTGTCTGCTGATGGGCATTTGGGCTGTTTCCAAATCTTAGCTATGGTGCATTGTGCTGCGATGAACATAGTGGTGCATGTATCTTTCTGATTGGTGTTTCTGGTTTCGTGGGATATAGTCCTAGAAGTGGAATTACTGGGTCAAATGGGAGTTCCATTTTTAGTTTTTTGAGGAAACTCCATATTGTCTTCCACAGTGGCTGCACGAGTCTGCATTCCCACCAGCAGTACAGGAGGGTTCCTTTTTCTCCGCATCCTCACCAGCACTTGTTGTTTGTTGATTTTTTGATGATAGCCATTCTGACAGGTGTGAGATGGTATCTCATTGTTGTTCTGCTTTTTATCTCTAGGATGATTAGTAACTTTGAGCATGTTTTCATATGTCTCTGGGCCTTCTGTATGTCCTCTTTCAACAAGTGTCTATTTAGATCCTTTACCCATTTTTTTGTAATTTATTATTCAGAAGTGACTGAATATTTTAAACATTGATTGCCGTAATAATGATTCTACCTCTATAATGTCTGAGTAGAATCTTTGACAGTGGGAAAACTTTTTTTTAATGAGTTATTATTTCTTTCTATTGTAGCTGGTAGCTGGCAGTGTTGTGATGGCTTTTGAAGAAGTATGCCCAGAGAGAATAGACCTGATTCACAAGAATTACCGCAAGCTATGTAATTTACTAGTTGATGTAGAAGAGTGGGGACAAGTTGTCATAATCCACATGCTGACTCGATATGCTCGTACACAGTTTGTCAGTCCTTGGAAAGAGGTAAGTGTTGAGTAATTTTGCACTTACAAAATATACTAAGAAAATGGATGCGCTTTAAAAATGTGTATGAAAATTAAGAGTAGTAAATTATAGAAATCTGTGAATTTAAGGATATCTCATTTTTCTCATGTTCTTTTAGAAATCAGGAAACCAATATAAATGCAGGGATATTTGGTCATTGTTTTATCATTAGAGGATATATATTTAATGGCACAGTAAAATTTTAGCTTATTCTGCTTAAGAATTGAAGTATATTTTGAATTATCCATGTATAAAAGTCATGTCACATAGGCTCTTAAATTGGTGCAGTTTTACTAACCATCTCTGCATTTATTTTATAAAGTTAACTTTATTTATCATTTAGCAAAGTAAACTTTTGATGGCATTTGTGCTGGATTAAGCAACATGTCCATGCTGCAAATGTCTTGGCCCCTTAATGTAAATGGTGACTTTGACAATAGATTTTTGTTGCTAATAGCTAGTTATTTAATTTCAGCCAGTAATTTTCCAGATTGCTATTGAGATTTTCCCCCCCCTGTTTTATAGGTAAATTTTTTACCTAGTCACTATCACTATTTAATAAAACTTTTTATTGTACTTTCCTGTCAGCATCAAGTCACTTTAGTAGCTTTATGCAAATGATCCTTTGCTTTGTCACTATGTAGAAATTGGAGTTAAAATATATACATTTTTTACCATATCCCCTAAAAATATCTTTGTAGTTTGTCTATTTATTTATGTTCCTTTAATTTAATTTAATTTTAGGTAAAATTCATGTTTGAAGCTATTTGCCAAATAAAAAAATTAACTTTTATACTACATATATATTTATTTTTTGACAGATTATTTAAGAAATTGGTACTATATGCATTCTTTATTTTTACATGTTAATTCTGTGAACCTTAGTTATTATTACAAACATGAGATGAAACTCTGGTCATTGTCCTGGTAACACTGGAATTGGGCTAAATAATTTCTTATCTTTGCTACTTATTTGCAATCTGACCTAGGCTTTATTCTAAATTATGTGGTTAATGGGCTAATTAAGTAGTTTCCAGGAGTGCTCCTCTGCTCTAGGATGCTGTAGTACTGCCACTGGACCAACCAAGAGGGTGGGGCCCTAGAATCTCTAGACCACATGTGTCAAACACAAGGCCTGCGGGCCAAATCTGTCCCGCCAGGCCTTGCAATGTGGCCCGCACCGCGCTGTCATCACTGCACTCCGCTGCGTTTCCATCACAATGACAGTTTATGACTGTTCAGTAAACCATTCGGCCCGCGATTTAGGCTGGATTTTAGATTTTGGCCCCTTCTCTGATTGAGTTCGACACCCCTACTCTAGACTGTTCCAAACGGAGCAGGCTTCACCTTTACCTGCCATTCATATGCAGCTTTGCATGTTATTTCCTTTTTAAAGATTTCTGGGCTAAAAGAAAAGAAAAACCTCCAGTAAAATAGAAGATTTGTAAAGGTTTGGCTAACTATAATTGGGTATATTCTTAAAAACATAGAAACAAATCAAGAACATTGTGAAATAAAGGGCATCCTTTTCATAACATCATGGTAGCCTCTTTAGAGCCAATTACTGGCAACCATTTAATTTCATTTGTTCTAGTGGTTATAAATTTTACTTTAGATAACACATTTTATTTTATTAATTTAAAATGATTCCAGTTCACCCACAAATAGTCAAGATAACAGGCTTGTGTCTCTTTGAATACACATATGTTTTGTTTATTACCAGTGTAAAAGATTTGAAAGGTCAACCTTTATGGTATCATTAAAAGTAAGGGATTGTTGCCCAGGCATTGTGGTTCAGTGTTTGAGTGTCAGTCTGTGAACCAGGAGGTCTTGGTTCAATTCCCATTCAGAGCACATACCCTCAGTGGAGGGCATGCAGGAGGCAGTAGATTGATTATTCTCTCACATCATGGATGCTTTTATCTCTCCCTCTCCCTTCCTCTCTGAAATCAATATGTGCGTGTGTATTAAATATATATATTTATATATATATACTAGAGGCTCGGTACACAAAATTTGTGCTCTGGGAGGGGAGGTGTCCCTCAGCTCAGCCTGTACCCTTTCACAATCAGGGAGCCCTCAGGGGATGTCCGACTGATGGCTTAGGCCGGGGGGTGGGCCTAAGCTGTCAGATTGACATCCTTAGAGCTGTCACAGAGATGGGAGAGGATTCCGCCACCTCTGCTGCACTTGCTAATCATAAGCCCAGCTTTTGGCTGAGCGGTTCTCCCCCTGTGGGAGGGTACTTACCACCAAGGGGCAGCTCCTGTATTGAGCATCTGCCATCTGGTGGTCAGTGTTTATCATAGCAACTGATAGTTCTGCTGTTTGGTCGATTTGCATATTAGCCTTTTATTATATAGAGAGAGAGTGTGTGTGTGTGTGTGTGTGTGTGTATGTGTGTGTATATACACACACACACACACACACTAAAGATGTTAGATTTTTAGTACAAATACATTGTACAAAAATAAAATAAGATTAAAGTTATTTTTAATCTTTAAAAATAAAGATTATCATTTAGACCATGTTTATGCTCACTGTCTCTTAACCTATCTTAGACTTTCTGTGCCTATTTACAGTTCTGTTTTATAGAGAAACTTTCCAGTGATCAGTCCAGCCACTTTTAGTCTTGAAGACTTTTTAGCCTAGACTTTGAGTTGCATTCAACTTTTTAGGACTCCATATGGTGATTTTAACTTTAAAAGTTGGCTACTGAATTACAAGGCAATGTTTGATCATACCTAGAAGGAACTGAGAAGTATTTGGGATTTATATCTGCTCTAATTTTTCACTTCTCTTGTTGTAAAAAGCATACCATGAAGTAAAGAACTACTTAAGAATGTTATCCTATCTAACAAAGAAGGAATATGCTAATTGACTCTCACACCATCACAAAGATGGCAGTGCCTACAGCCAATAAGAAGAGAATATACTAATTGACTTCTCCACCCTCAAAGATGGTGGTGCCCAGTCCCCTCAGCCCCGCTGGGGTTTCAGGCATGCAGAAAAGCCAGGCCTGCCCTCAGACAGGCCCTGCTGATCCATGCACACCTGCTCCCAGACCCTTAGCCCCCCCAGTCGCCCAGGGCTGGCAGAAGGCGCAGGCAAGCTTCGGATGGCAGCTACCCAACTGCCCAGGGCTACCTGAGGCTCAGTAACCAGGGCTGGCTGAGGCTTGTGCTGCTGGCAGTGGCAGCAGCAGAGGTGTGATGGGGCATTGCCTTCCCCTGATTGCCGGGTCGCTTCCTACCCCTGAGGCCTCCCGGACTGTGAGAGGGGGCAGGCTGGGCTGAGGGACCCTTCCCCCCTTCCAGTGCATGACTTTTCATGCACTGGGCCTCTAATAGCATATACAGGTAAAGTGGAACAGTACTCTAGCAAAGTTACCATCCTTTTTTATCCTTTACCATCAACATTTGAATGTGTGTGTGTGTGTTTTTTTTCCATGAGATCAGCAGAGTACAAAGGTATTCATTTTAGTACCCCCATCCTTTTTTACATAACAGGCAGAAGTCATTTGCATAAATGCTATATGAACACCAATATATGATAATGAAAAGGCTATTTATAAGTGAGAAAAATATCACTAAAGTAATATGTTGACTTAAGTTATATAAAATAAAAAACTGCCTAAAATGCTGAATTCCTTAAAATTAAGATGTTTCCTTCTCAATTCTAATAGAAAATATGAAAAATAACACTTGATTCTTTGTAGTTAGCAATTTAAGACTTTGTTTACTTATGTTGTATTTAATTTGAGATAAGACAATGGGAATTATTATCCATTATATAGATGAAGAAACTGAGGGATGTAGTTTTTAATGACTAGACAATTTTACTTTTAAAAAGTAGAGCCAGAAGTAGAAACAGGATAATCTAACACTTAGGCCAACATTCTTCCCATATATTCTATTACCCCATAGCTTTTAAATTAAAGTATCCTTTTGTTTACTTTAATAAAGTTTCTATGTGTTTACTTATTATGTTCCAGTCAAAGCTGATATTGAAGCCCCTAATCCATAATACTCAGATATTGCAATTAACTAACAACCATAATTTAATTTGCTTTTCTCAAAGAGAGGTGATATTTCTCATTGAATTCTTTAAAATAGTGTTTAAAAGAATTGTGTTTATGGGCTTGAAAGATAGCAAAATTGTTTCTTGAGGAATTAAAAATTAGTGGAAATACTTTTTGAGATGAGCTGATGTACATGCATTTGTCAGTAAGTTCTCAAATGAACACATCATATATAAATAGGCTTCTTCAGGGGCAAAAGAGATTTTTAATTTAGTTTATTTGCATCATTATAGATCAGTATTTAGGCTGTTTATATGTAAATGGATGAATTGAGGAACAATTAAGTGTTGACAAAGTAGATTTCAGTCACATCAATTGCAGTGCATTTTCTATAATTTTTCTAACTGACATCTTTGATGATAAATAGTGGATGCCAAGTCAAAGCCGATTATACAGAGCACTAGGAATTCATGGGACTGTCAGGGAGAAGACCGATTGACTTTAAATTTACATATTAATGAGAAGATTTGTTAAGAGGATGCTTGACTATAGAAAATAACAGCGTATTTATAGGGCACGACATTTTATAAATAAAGCTGATGCAGGAAAATGGAAATTAAACCTTTTAGGTTAATAAATTCAAGAGACTGCTAAAAATGCATATTTGCATTTCTATTTTCTTAAATTTACCTTACTCTCTGCAGTCCTAGTGGGTTGTTTTTTTATTCTAGGTCAAGTTTGTATAATTTTCAAGGACATAAAATTACTTAAACATTTTCTTTGTGTCATTCAGGCTATTATGGGAGAATACTTGAAGCATAAGTGTAAATCTCTGAGACTTAAGTTGTTTTTGTAGAAGTAATGGACTTTAAAAAGTGCTATAAAACAAGTAAATTTTAAAAGTGATTAAAAAGCAAGCTTTTAGTGGCATTAATTATAAACTGAAATAAAACTCCGG